GGTAATACATGCAGTTGATGGATGCAGGTGGCTCAGAACCCTGCTTTGTGGCATTCCTTGGGGGAGGCCTATGTTCAACAGTGGACTTGCGAGGGGCTGTAATGTTGATAATGATGATGACTTTAATTTCCTTTAGGAAACTCGGGTGAAAACAATACAACTTTTTTAAAAGATTACCTTAGAATTACAAGTTTGGTCAACTAGACTAGTAAATAATACACATATATACACTAATACTAAACATTACTGGCGGTTGTATCACAACGACTCTAGACCACCAAACAGTGACCATCAATTTTCTAGGGGTAAGTTTTCGCTTAGGGCATTGTTTAAGTACTGAATTAGGATCCAACCACTTGCTGAGCGTTTGCAATAATTGTCAAACAGAATCAACAGAATCAAACAGAAATGCGGTTTAAAATTCCTTCGTTTGTGTGCCTGTTGAGCAGTGCAAGGCACGTCTCGATGCGTATTTCACGTGGCGATCATAGAGTTCGTGGGGCAACTATTTGTCAAGCTTTTTGCCAATTTGACGCAAATGGGCCAAAATATTGTTTTGATGCTAACTTCGAAAGCTGCTGCTAATTCAGGCGTGGATTGAGTGTTCACAATCGTCTTTAATTCGTCATTGTCGACTAGTTTGCGGACGACCATGGGAGTTAATATTCTTATCGAAATTTCCAGAACGGAAGCGGGCAAACTAATAACAGTTGGTGCGTTCGTTTGTACTATTCTCTCCGTAAACGTCGTTGATGTTGCGTGTCGCTTGTGCCGCGTTGCTGCCACGACGGTATTCATATTCCATAATTACTCGAATTTTTAACGTATTCATGATGACAAAAATATTCAAATGTGATGAAAACATAACGCTAATCAATAAACAAATGACTAATTTTGAAAAAAGAATTCCATCAAACAAATTATTTAGATTTGAAATGACCAGTACTGCAGAACGGCAATTTCGTATGTCCTAGACCTATTGTAATATGTTATTACTCTCAAGCCCATGTCAAACACTTAATAGTCTGTTCTCAGATGTATTTTGTCTGTGCGACTGGTTTAACAGACACAAAATACATCGTCGCCACAAACAAATAATTACTGACAGAGACTGAATAAGCTCTGAATATTGTGTGGTGTCAAGTGTTCCTTTTTCAGTACTTTGTGGAGTGTATGACAAAGCAAAAAAGCGTTTATTGCATGCCTCATAACGCGAAGCGTTGTAGGTGTGTTCTACTCTAGACATGTCAAGGTCGAGCAATTTAGTGTTCTTATATCATAACCTTATTGCACTTATGCGACAATACGAGTATGAGTAGCCGTATATCAAGAAAACACTAATTAATCCATCTTATACTTTCTAAAAAAAACATTTTATATAATGCTACTTTGAAAAAAAACCGGTTTGAAAAACATTTACGTGGACGTCCGTATTTTGTCCGTAGATTGTATGTTGTCACGATAACCCCCAAAAAATTGACGGATCGAGACCAGGTTTTTTTATTAGCTTCAGAATTACATCAACTGGTTTCCTATTTCATATCAATAGTCTAGTACGCGTAGTTTGTTAATAAAATGATTTTAAACTTTTATAAATTTTACTGCTATTAAAAATTTAAAGGCGCTGTCATATATTTTTTAGCATTTGATAGACCAAATATACCATACAGCCTATATGGATTTTATGTATTCGATTTATTTTCTGTAAACATTTTTTCCCCTGTATGTAACACTACCTGTTAAAATAACAGAGCGCTAAATTTAATAAACGTAAATAATATATTTTAAAAGTTAGGAGTACAATTTTTTTTTCATAAAAATTAAATGAAACTTGTGCGCTTTTGGATTTTCCAAACTATTTTATATTATGTATATAAGTGTTTTATATATATTTAGTTTTATAATCCGTTGAAAGTAACAGACAGTTTGATTAATATATATATATATATATATATATATCTAAAAAGATTAAATTCTTAATGAATTATGGTCGAATTTCGACCACTAGGCGACCACTAGTTTAATATTATACTGCACGCATATTATTAGGAGATTTGCGACGCCATGCGCTCTCAAAACAAATAGTCTCCTACGTTTAATACGAATGTATGTTCGTAGATTTTTGGCTGACGTCCAGATTTGCTGGCCTAAATGCAAACTCAATTCGTTCATATTGTTGTCAATTGGTTTTATAAAATAAATTATATGTATTTAACCTCTCAATTAGCATCAGCCCCTTATTCACGCCGTGTAGTTCTTTAAGTTCGCATTTCAGAATAAATTGTTTTTGGGTCACTGAAAATGACCTAAATTTCAGTGTATTTAATTTGTATTGTTTGCCTGCTCTGGGGGTTGGTTGTTTGCTATGATTAAATAACCAAGTGATAATTATATTTAGCGCCCGTGACTTATAGTGTACTTGCCGAAAATGTAACCTTAACTTGACGTTGACAAATTTTAACAAGGTTTTAGGCTTGTGAGGGTTCATTTTAAACATAGCTGAAATAAACATTCTAATTCTACTTCCTTTTTAAACGGTAAGAAATCAAATGAAACACAGAAATTAAGATTATTTTCAGCGACTCTTTAAAATGATTTATGTGAGAGTATATTTGTGTTAAGAGTGAAATGTAATGCTTTTCCTCTTTAGCTTTTCCCTCCATAAGTATGCAAAATAAATCATATTGCGTTATATTTTTTGTCGTATTCACAAAGCAACAAATGTGATCAAAACGAAATACTAAGCCTATGAAAAAGATTATGTGAGACATATTTATACAGCGGATTTAGTAAATCCCACAGGCGAACCGATGTGGCTGCATTACTGTCAATGTTTATAAATGATATTGTATTTCCTTATATTTTTTTTCAGTACTTACTCGTAATAAGAAACATTTGGCGATTTCTCTGTATTATAGTCTGTTAAAAAACTAAACTACCATAAGTTTAGTTTTTTAACTGACTTAAAAATAGGTGAAAAATTTGAGTTTGCTTTGAGGTAGTCAATAATTTTGCAGACTTTTTTTAATCACCAATAAAACTATAATACGTCCCACTGCTGAGCAAAGACCTCTCATTTCTAAGAGGGTTATGGAACAATTTGTACGTCGCGCTGTCCCAGTGCGCGTTGGCGGACTATTTACTACTTAAAATGTATAAATAGAAATGATATACGATGAATATTGAAGTTCGATGGTATATTTTTAATTCCATCCAGTTATCTTTAAATTTTGGGGATATTGGGAATTTATCACATAACTAGAATAGAATAGAATACAAATATTTTTACTAACAAATTTTATCTTTTCATGCTAACCCTCCAGTGTCTTTAAAATGTAAGTATTTAATTCTTTTCTTTATTTCTAAGTAATATGTTTTGTTACATATAATTTCATCAAAAATATCATCCGAAATTAGTAAAGAGTAATATAAAAAAAATAATTCTCATAATGCCTCCATCTGCGCATGACGGAATCATAGTGAACAAGTGTGTGCGTAGTACAGCACACACTTGTTCACTATGATCCCGCACAGGTCTTCCCACAATCTCATAGCCCTATGTGACGGCAATCCCACACGACCGGTGAGACATGAGGCGAAGGACCAACGACGACTTTACGTGCTTTCCAAGGCAATATTCTGACTCCAGCTACTTCTGAAAATTTGTCTTCAGAAAAACCTAATAACTAATTTTGGTTGTAATAATCCCAGATTCAAACCCGGGACTACATGATAGGTTGCTTATTATATTATACTGGGTTTACGACAACTGGCCAACGAGGCAGTCATGGAGAATATAGAGTAATATAACTTGTAATTCTTGTTACATAACGAGATAGCAGAATTCTCACATGTGAATTTATGTGACTGGTGAAATCCTTGCTTTAACATTTCCTGTAACTGTTTACAGCGTGGACGTAAAATGCTCCTGCAACAATGTTAATAAGTTAACGCGAACAGTTGCGTAAAATTCGAATATGTGTTATAAATGTTTTGTGCAGTCTTTTCAGTTGATGTTCATTTTATTTCATTTCCGTACTTAAAGCGAGAGTACATATACGTGTGTTCACTGTTCATACGAGTATAGGTACTCTGCACACATTTTATTGTTTCTGATAATGCTGTCGTATAACAGTGCTAGACTTAGAGAGTTTTATCTCTTCATTATAATAAAATTTTACTGCGCAAATACTTTTCGATTAGACTGGCATAACTTTCAGTGTACAGCATAAAGGCATAACTTTACCGTTACCGCAAATTAAGATTTTTTTGAAATTTAATATTAGACTTATACTTTAAATTATATCAAAACTTAAAAAAAATTATGCTTCACTACGTAGTGTAGGCGTTGCTTTTATATATCTTTCTTCTTTAGCTCGTAAAAGACCAATTTAACTAGCTCCTAAATGTCCAATTTAACTAACATTGACCAATATGGACCTTTTCCTTAGTATTTTCGGAATCTGATTCACCGTAATCGCGTAATGGCGATCGCAACAGTTCTATCTAGCAAAAATTGCGCTGCTTTCTATGGCCAGTCTATGAATTTTAAATTCGGTAACCAGTAAATACGAGATAATTTAGAGGAGCTTAGTTAAATCCCAAAAAGAAAACAAACGAGAACCGCTATAGATTCAATTTTAACCGACTTCAAAAAAGAGATCTCAGATTTTTTTTTTAGGTGAACCTGATTCTGATCTGATGATTCTCTTTTTGAAACCTGTTGCTTCTAATGTGGTCCCATATAAATTTGATTAAGGTGTGACCAGTAGATTTTGAGTTATCCTTAATAATTTATATTGAAGTCGGTTGTACAAAATTGTGAATTTTACTACTTATAACATTTTTTATATAAAATAATTAATTTCTATTATTGATAGGATTTTTTTAAATTTATACTTAACGTTAACTTACTTAAGCTTTGATTAAGTACGTTAACTACTTTTTAAATAAAGACTTTCATTAAGCAATACAATTAAATAGTCAAATGCATTTTCCAGATACGGACAACCAACGGGTAATCATTCATGTGAAGGATGTCAACGACGAGCCACCTTACTTCATTAATCGGCCACTACCAATGCAGACTGTAGTCCAGCTCAATGCGGCCCCCAATACACCAGTTTTCACGCTCCAAGCTAGAGATCCCGATACGGACCACAATATTCATTACTTTATCGTCCGCGACCGGACCGGTGGGCGTTTTGAAGTAGATGAGAGGTCAGGCGTCGTCCGCACTAGGGGAACAGATCCTTTTCAACTAGATATGGAGTACGTCCTGTATGTGAAGGCTGAAGATCAGGTGAGAATTCTTTATGTTTTGTAATCTTATTATATCGTTGATATGAAATATACATTTAAGATGCTTTAGAATTAATATTTTTTTTCGGTTTCTTAAAAAATAAACTATCTGTTATGTCACAATGCTAGAGCTTATATGAAAAAAGTAAACTAACAGTAAATACGTCCTATTACTGGCCCGCCTCCTTTAATTTCTTGAATAGTTTTCGAGCTAGTCTCTTCCCTGCATTTCCTCCCTTCGTCGCACTGCTCCAATGTATTATTAAAGGAAATATTTTTTCATTTCTTTGTCAAAGTTCTTTTTGCCGAGATGTTTTAATAATAATATCCAGACAGAGATTCGGTCACGACCGTCATCCTCAACGGAGACTAGCTATCTGTGCAGGACAGGGTTATTGTGTAAGACTTTGTGCGCAAGTACATGTGCACTCTCCTTTCCCTCATGCTCATAATCCGAAGTGACGGAAATCTGACACGACTTCTAGACCAGCTAGACAGTCTACGAAGTGTTACCTCCTTAGTCACGAAAAATTGCAATTAATAATATAATTATTGTTGCCGGAGATTGAACTCGGGCTGCGGGCGCTTAGGAGCAAAAGTACTCTGTGTTTATGAGCTTCAACGCAATTTAATATACTTTTTGTTAAATTGAAGCGAAATAAATAATAAATATTTTTATCACGAGCCGGGTTACAGCATATGAGCAGAAAATAATGTGAGATCAAATTTAATTATTATCATTTTTTGCAGTTCCATAAATGTATAGTCAAATTGAGGATGACTAAATTATGGGTTGCTGCTTGACTTTAGTTATTTCAAATAGAGATTATTTAATATTCATAATTATATAAATAACTAGCTGGCTTGGAAGACGATCTAGCGCAGCTATGAACCGTCGTCCTGACAAAAACATATTTTGTGAATATGACTTCAATCGCTCAAGTGTTCGTTTCAGCGGAAGTTACACGATCACTAATAGACGCACTTAAGATTATGAAACGGTTAAAGCCTAGGTTTATTTTACTTATTATTCGGACGTTATTACACTTAGTTTTATCCGAATTTAATCGCCCACACATAGTTTAAGCCACGAATATATAGAACGCACCTAAAGTTACTCAACCGCAATCGGCTGCACCTAATTGTAACCGACTAAAGCTAGATGTTACCGTATTTAGGCTTTATGCTTCGACATACCTATTTATATATATAAATATATCTTTGATTATTATCTATACACTGGGGCGGGGCAATCTGTATAGTATTAAAGTAGAACAACTACGTAATGAGTGAATCGGTAATTTTATTACCGTTTCAGCTTTGCCTGAACAAGGCTTCAAATATATTTGTAGAAAAAAGCGTTAGACTTTATTTTTAATTGCGTCAATAATAAATATCGCAAAGACTTCTGTTATGTATACCATAGTAAGTATTTGTGGAAGGGATTGAATAAAATCAATTTTACGGATTTTATCGCATATAACTTATTTTAAACTGAAGATATTTAATTAGTTTGCAGCAAAATATTATCAAGGGAGACTCTAGATAATACTGTTGTATATAGAAAGACAGAGAAATATAAAAATGCGCTTTTAAACATGTATAAAAAGTTTAAATCGCTTATAGTAATATAAATAGTCATTAAGTGAAGCACATTAAAACGCTTTTGAAGTAATAAAAATAATAAAACACATTTTCTTAACGACGAAACCGTGTATTTTCAGAGCGGCCGTGTTGATGAGAGGAGATTTCAGTCGACGCCGGAAGAGAGGCTCAGCATTGTAGGCGGTAAACGTGCGCCACAATTTTATCTTCCCAACTACGAGGCGGAGATTGCCGAGAACCAAAAGAAAGATTCAGAGTAAGTGTAGATTCCCTAAATGTAATGTTTATTTGTTTGCCACTTTACTCAGCGGCTTTTTAGGACATAAAACCGTTTGAGTTGGAACGTGCAACGATGTATGACAGTAAAGTTTGGTTGCTTGTTGAAACAGTATTTTGAGTGGTATGCAAATGCCTAAATCTTTGCAGTAAGTAGTTATATCAGTTTTTTAGTTTGAAGTTACTATTATTACGTACGTATACCTTTCATCATTATCATCATTACATCTCTACGCAAGTCCATAGCTGAACATAGGCCTCCTCCAAAAGGTGCCACAAAGCACGGTCCTGAGCCACTTGATCCATCGATTTACTGTATGTTTACCTGGTCCCGCTATCTAGTGGGGGGCCGCCCCACACTTCACCTACCGGTACGAGGCTGCCACTTGAGAACCTTGCTTCCCCTTCGGTTGTCTGTTCTTCGAGCTATAAGGCCGGCAAATTGCCATTATAACATTGTATACCATTGTAACAAACATTTTCTTTATTTTAATTTCATGAACAAAGTCCTCTCCCATAATGGGAGGCATAATGGGGATTACAATCCCACATGCATCTCTTATGTAATTTGTCTTGATTATTTGTCAAGCTTTGACTGTAAATCTAGTTCGCTTCTGTCACGATGTAGGATCATAATGTGAATTGATTATATAATAATATTTAAGCACTTGAAGCGCCTAAATGATGACTGTTTATATTATTAAAATCAAAATGTTACCTCTGAATGTCTTTAGATTAATTAGTAGTTAGGTTTCATATGAAAGATACAAGAATCCACTTCTAAATCATTACAAATTTGAGTTTTTAGATAAGTAGCTGCTGTAGCTCGGAGACCTACACCTATTTTCGAATAAGAATCAAAATGCAGATGCAACTCAAAATACTAAAATGGAGTGCCACGATACCAGTATATATCCAGTTCTCGTATACGAAACACAGAGTTATGTGTTATTTTACGCTTGTATTTCATGAGTGCCTAGTCCTTCCCTAATAAAGTTGACATACTCGTAGTGCAACGTGGCTCTACCACGTAGAATATATAGTTAGTATCATTTTATAAGTTTTGTTGATTAAAGAAAGAAGAAAGAATCATTTATTGAAAGGCTTTCTGTAATGTATCTACTGTATTTTATGAATGATATTATTATTTATTTATTGTGACTATTTCAGTGTGTCTTGTTACTTCACAATTATATTTGACAGTAAACTTACAGCCTTAGACATGTATGCCACAATGCTGGGCATTAATTTCTGACAGGGTTATGTTGCAATTATTCTGTCGCACTGCACTTATTCTTTATTTCTACACTTTTAATGCAGACAATGCTACGAGTATATTAGTGTCAGCGGGGATCGAACTCGAATCGAGCTCCGAACTATAACAGCCGCTCAAATATAATCAAACCTATATTATTATCGTTACCGTTATTAGGTACATTAAACTTTTAAATAACGTATCTTTTTTTAATTCTATTTCCAGCATAATATCAGTGAAGGCGAAATCGTTCGCGGATCGTGAAATTCGTTACACATTAAAGGCACAAGGACAGGGAGCGGGCACCTTCAACATCGGACCTACTTCAGGCATCGTGAAGCTGGCGAAAGAATTAGATTTCGAGGACTTGCGACAGCCGCACGTATATTCTTTGGTCGTGACTGCTACTGAAGACTCCGGCGGATTTTCTACTTCTGTTGAGGTTGATAATTTATTTCATTGATAATTTATTAGATTGTGTTTATGCTTGTAAAAAAAAAAACCCTTTTTTCTTTTACTGAAATATGCACCGAGACACTATACATAAAATATAGAAAATATTTTTTTAGAACTTAAATATTCATATTATACTTTATTTTCTTTGGTCCGCCAAAAATGATCAAATATATGGATATTTAAGTTGGTTAACTGTTACGGTTTCGTTTGCTTTTGAGTGCATAGTTCGGTTTTGAACCCTATTATATTATTTTCTAAAAACCAGTTTTATGTTTTTGATGTGAGTTTAAAATATTCTGTTTTTTTTTTTCGTATCTTTGATCCTAAATTATCGTTTGCCACTAATATCCACCGATCATAAATTGATAATTACGATTTCGTGAAATTTATTCATAGATAAAGTACAACATAAACAAATGTAAAATTACAGTTGTATGAATAAAAAAAGTTTAATTTTTTGACGTTTATATTCATTCAGGTTATAATTTATGTAACCGGGTAACTTTTATTTGATGGTTGAAAAATCAGGCTTTTATGGAACATTAGCTAAAACTTGACATCAATAACTCATGATACTGAAATTATTCAAGCAATAAATATATTTTCTAGACTGCTTCATTGATCTAGTGGTTGTAGTAGTGCGACTGCTATCATGAGGTCCCGGGTTCAAATCCCGGGTCGGGCCAAAAAATTAGTTATTGAGCTTTTCCATTAAGAAACTCTCAGTAGCTGCCCGGAGTAAGGAAGTTGGCGGTGTCTCTACCCCGTGCCTCGGAAAGCACGTAAAGCCGTTGGTCTTGCGCCTGATCTCTCTCCGGTCGTGTCGGTTTTCCGTTCCATCGGACTATGAGAGCGAGGGTATAGAGAGTGCACCTGTGCTTACGCATACACTTGGGCACTATAATCCTGTCCTGCGCCGATGGCTAGTCTACGTTGAGGCTGGCCGCCGTGACCAAAAATTCGGTCTGGGAGGACTTTATATTTTGTAAATTTAAATTAACTGTTCTCGGAGTAAAATTGAGTAATCGTTTGTATAACTTTTTGATTATTCCTCTCTAAGTAAACATCTTCATCATCAGGCCGTAATTATCCACTGCTGGATATAGTAGGGAAACCGCTCTTAGCAAGGAAATTTAGATTAGAGGCGATCGCAGTAAAAGACATTTAACACCTTTTAATCGATGCTCCTCGTTGGCAACCTCATTAAAGGTCCTCGATAAAAGATCGTCATTTATCGAGGACCATGAGATCTTTTGAAATTTCCCATAGATATCCCTAACAGCACTAAGTAAAATAGCAGCTTAATGCTGCTGTGTTTCGTATGGTGAGTGTAGAGAACCGGAGACCCATTTTACTGGAAAAGAGGCATTCTATCTTAGTCCTCAAAGCTGACAACGCATCTGCATTTTAATTCGCAAACGAAGATAGGTGCAGATGTCTATGGGCCACAGCAACCACTTACCATCAGGTGGACTGTGTGCTCGTTTGTCACCCTAACTCTATAAAAAAAAAACTCTTGGGATGATAGACTTTCAGACTGAACCCTTCACCCATATTATATGTATGCCGTGTGGTGGTGGTGAAAATCCACGACTCCATTTCGTCCTGCGGGTGACGTTATTGAGGAGATTACACGAAATGCCTGAAAATTTTTATAGCTTTCGATATATGGAGTAACAACCATTTCGTTTACCGTCGTTGTGGTATCAGTCTGCCTGATTAAAGCAAATCGTCGCTATAATGGAAGAAGCCAAAGTCCACTACTATCGGAGCAGTGGGCTTTTGCAGGCTGATTATGATGATATCAGATTTATAAATTATAATTTTATTTAATAAAACTTTTAGAAAAAAACTCGTTAGCGACAAACATAAAGGAGGGATAAATCAACAGGACATACTTTATCAATTTCTTGATCGTTGCTAATATTCTTGATCGTTGCTAATATTCTAATTTAGACAATATTTAGAATGTGAGCTAAATATGTTCATTAGGTTTTCTTTGTTAATTTTTAATTGTTCTTCAATAAAATAAAATAAGCAATTTAATAAACCAACCCATAGTGTAAGGTTTTTATATTTTATATAAAAATATGAATTACTTTACCAGGTACTATTTTAATTTAAATTTCAGTTGACTATCCGAGTCACCGATGTAAATGACAACGCACCTAAATTCGAGCTGCCCGATTACCAAGCGCACAACGTCGATGAAGATATCGCTAAAGGCACAAGTATCCTAAAAGTGAAAGCCATGGATGCCGATTCCGGAAAAAATGCTGAAATCGAATATTTAGTTTCAGGTAAAAAACAAATTTGTGTAACAAATATTTTTAGTAATAAATATATATTTTCAAAGACAACATATTCGTGTCCACAATATTAACATCAAAGACTAAAATAGTCATTTTATAAACTTGTTTGTCGCGGCAGTGCTAACAACTGTAGTTGCGTTTTATTTTTGAATGGCTATTATATGTGAGAGAGAAAAGTTGTCACCAGAGGCGAGGACCGGTCACAAATATAGTTCCTTCACAAACTTCACTGCGCGTTGTGGCCACTTCCAAGTATAGTTAGCTTTATCTATTTATGATTATATTGAGGTTGATGTGGTATTTCATTGGCTCTACCGTCAGTGTTAAGACAATTATCTTATCGTTGCTTTTAAGTAACTTGATAAGTAAATCAGTATAACAAACAGCTCTTTATTGCTTAATTATACGTAGTAATTCGGCTTGTAAGCCCTATGATTACTATTTTTAATAATGTAATTATATATAATTTTTTTATTATATGTAGCTTTTTCTGATTCCCAGACGATCACTTCGCTGTAGACAACAATGGCATCATCACGAACAATAAGCAGCTGGATGCGGATAATAATAACGCCTATTATGAATTTGTTGTCACAGCCAAAGATAAAGGAGAACCAGCAAAAACTGGAACTGCTACAGTTCGAGTGTACACTAAAAATAAAAATGACGAGGAACCGAAATTCTCACAACAAGTTTACACACCAAATGTAGATGAAAATGCTGGTCCAAATACTTTGGTAACGACCGTGGTAGCTTCAGACAAAGATGGTGACAATGTCCGCTTCGGGTTTGTTGGTGGTGGGACTAGTTCTGGACAATTCGTCATTGAGGAAATAACTGGTGTAATACGGTTACATAATAAACCTATATCATTAGATAGAGACAAGTACGAACTAAATGTAACAGCAATGGACGATGGTGCTTGTTGTGTGAATGGAGATGCTACGATACATACATCGACAGCTGTTGTAGTGGTATTTATAACAGATGTAAATGACAATAAGCCTATTTTCAAAGACTGTCCTACATATTTTCCGAAAGTAGAAGAAGGTGCTCCGAATGGTAGCCCTGTAATAAAAGTACATGCGACGGATGAAGATAAAGGTGTAAATGGTCAAGTAAAATATTCAATTGTACAACAACCTAATCAGAAAGGAACAAAGTTTACGGTAGATGAGGAAACGGGTGAAGTGTCTACAAATAAAGTATTTGACAGAGAGGGCGACGATGGCAAATTTGTTTCGGTAACGGTAAAGGCTACTGACCAGGGTGAACCGTCGTTAGAGGGTGTTTGTTCATTTACTGTAGAAATAACTGATGTAAATGACAATCCACCATTATTCGACAGACAAGTAAGTTAAAACGTTGTAAATACATTGAATAATAAAATATTCATATAAGGACAGCACAATTTTGCATGAAAGCACTAGTAAAACTTGGCTTTTTTATCTATATTTCACATAAATTCATACAGTATTTACAAAGATGAACTTTAGCGATCTTCATCTTTGAATTATGTATTACAGAAATATGTGGAGAATGTTAAACAAGATGCTAGCATAGGAACCAATATACTGAGAGTTTCCGCATCTGATGAAGATGCGGATAATAATGGTGCAATTGTTTACACCCTTAGTGCTCCTTATAATCCTGCTGATATAGAATATTTTGAGATCCAACCCGAATCGGGTTGGATCGTACTTAAGAAGCCTCTCGACGTAAGTATTAATTTAACATTCGCATATATTAACTCACAAACGTGAAATGATAAGATTGATGAGTGAATGAGATCAACCTAACTAAGAAGTTTGGTGGATGAGTGCTACCTACAGACCCTAGGATTCAATTGGCACATACTTTAAGTTTATTTACATGTAAATAGTTCTAAATTGTCTGCTGCTGTAAATTGCTGTGAAGAGGGGTTAATCCTGGCTGTGAGGAGTAGTTGTCCATTGAACGGCGGCCCGCCGAGGCCGGTGGGCGGGCTCGTGGGCTGCGGGCCGCCGCGCCGGGGGCTTGTTCTTCTTGCAGCACAATTACTTTCAGTTGCCGCCAGCGTCGGCTCCGCACTTAACCTTCGTTAAGATTAATTTCCGCAGCACCATCTTGCATTAACTATTATCTTATCGATAATTGCGACTTGTGTAAAATACTTAAAATTATTGATTATACTGCTGTAAATATTTCACCGTTAAGACCTGTTTAGTTCTAAAACATGTACAGTTTATGTAAGCGCACATTTGTATATTTCGCACAAAATAGTTTTGGGATTTATTTTATTGTAAGTATATACTCGATTGATTAATTTGAGAAGCTTACGCTTTTAAACATATCCTTCAGTATTATATGTACGTACATGTTTTGTTACTAATCTCAAGTTTTGTTTTTTGTGTTTTGCGAGACGATCTCTCGCCTCAGGTGGTTCGATGCCCGCCTCATAATCTGTCACCGCTGCGCTAGACGACTACTCATGTTACAGAACATCATAATATATTATATAACATAATATAAATCATTGAACATAATCATCATAACTATGAATTTTTTACAGGGCGCCAGTATATTGTTATGATTTGTATTATTGTTAGTTTATAACAGAAATGGTCAGATTGCCCCTGAGGCAGTTTGGCCATTAAGCCAGTTGTGACATTATTCCTTCTGTGAAAGGGGCAACGTTCTCAAAACCAAAATTTGTACAGTTAACCGTAACGTCCATCGTTTGTAATATATTCATTATAATGAGTGTCGTTTTGTTGTAGTCATTAAGAGGTCATTAAACATTCTTATGACAACCTGACCTTTCCGCCATGTCTTGTATGCAGAGCTGCATGCATTTGCCTGCTTTTGGTTAAGTTTTATTTCATTTTTAAAATTAGTTTAGTTTCTTTATTGTAAAAAAGTATTATAATGTACAGTTTCTAATTTTACTTATTGTACATACAAACATGTATAATACAGTACATATTATTATTTCTAATTTATTTCTTGCACCATCCTATATTGGGCCTAATGAAATATCTTATTGTAAGAACGAACGAATGGAGTTTGGACGTGGCAGCAGATGACGTGAGTGGATCAATATTTATATTATGTAGAAAATCTCTGCAATTCTTCTCTTGTTTTAATTTGGCTTAATGGGTGTATGAGCGACGAATGTTAGATAATTTTGTTCATTTATAACGAAAAACTTACAGTCAATAGGTACTTTGTGAAAGTGGATATTTGTTTTTTAATTGTTTTAATTATTTCTTAGCAATGAGTACTTATGTGTTTATATTTGAGTTGTGTTATGTTTTTTTTTGTCCCCGCTGACCTCTGACCCGTGTATCTGTAGCGGGACAGGTACCGACTGCGCGTGCGTGCCTCCGACAGAGGCGACCCGCCCTCCTCTGCAGACGTGGACGTTGAATTAGACGTGGTAGACAGGAACAATAAGCCCCCCATCTGGGACATGTCCACGTATGGCCCCGTTCACATCAAAGAGAATGTCACAGTGGGTACCGTAGTGACCAGTGTGAAAGCCAGGTTGGTATAAGGCGCAGCGGGCCCTCGGGCCTGCCGCTCCTCCACTACTTAACACTACTAACGACGTGGTTTTGTCTGTTTCCATCGACTCTTTCTCCAATAGCGAGAAACGTACAAGTTGGAGGCTATGGCTCAAGACAAGGGCTTCCCACCCTTGTCCAGAACCGTGGAGGTCCAGATAGACGTAGTGGATCGCGCGAACAATCCCCCTGTGTGGGACCACACAGTGTACGGACCGGTCTACATTCGAGAGAATTTGCCCGTGGGTGCCAAAGTGGTGTCCGTTAAAGCAAGGTGCGTGGCTAACTGTTCGGCACGGGCACCGCACGCAGCCCCGACACCTGCACGCAGCGCGCGGCGCGCCCCACGCGCCGCCACCTCCGACTCGCTAACAACCTCCGATACGACACCACACTATTTAAGTTCAACTTTTTCCTCAACGGTCCAATAATTGGCTTAGCGTGTCAAAGTAGATGTTGATAGCGTATCGGACTGGTGTCGATGGTGTCTGTGCACCGCGCGCTTCTACTACTGTCGTTATTATTTGCCTCTCACTTGGTGATGAGAACTGTTACGTATCTGTTCGTAAATTACAAACGCAACGTTACGATCACATGCGGTCTAACCGTAACTCACCGGCGTGCATTTAGAAGGGCTCACTGCTTATATGGAACGGGGTCACTGTCATGTACGGTTGCTTAAAAACATTGGAGGAAAAAGACACAAAACTTCTTTCTTAGATGTTTTTGAGCAATTCGGATTTTATTTTGTGATAAATTGGTAGGTATCGAATTAACCTATATTCGTTACATGCATGTAGGTTGAGATGTAAGTGCATATGTTTATTTATCTCCAATTTTATAACACTTTTCATAAAGATAAAAGTAGCATGTCATTCAGTAATAAATGTTTAATTTTGTAGAAATTAAATACATAGTTTGTCTATCATTTATCATTTTACTTAAGAATTATTATATTGATAAAATAAAACAGAAAATGGTTAAGTTGTTACGCGTACATTTGATATTAATGTTTTAATTCCCAAAGATATTTCTCAACAATCAGAAAAGTATAGTACGAGTATATCATTGATAAAAATTCTTTTAGCAATTGACACCCAGCAATGGAATAATATTTTACTTCTACTAAGCTCTAAAATATGATTCGGATATATTTAAACTATGACATGTTTTATTCGAATAATTAATCCATGAATGTGCATTATTCGCAGGTGCTATAGATGTATTTTGCATTTTTTTATTTTTTTATGGTGCATCAATCACTCTGAGTGTCGGCTGATGGCAAGCCTGGTTCACATCTCTATTGTCTATCTGTGCGTCCTAAAATACACATTTCAAACTGACATTGATAAAAAAGACGAAACCATACTAACTCACTATACTAATAATTTTTCATATGGAGATATTTTATTTTCGTAATGTAACTGGAGATTATAATGTGGTATAAGGCGATGGCAACAAATCTTGAATTTCTTCTAAGATTTTAGTCACAAGACGGAAATTTTGGAAAGCTAAATTTAATCGTTTATCCATTTCTTAAGAATCATGAGTAACATTTTTCGTTTTCCTACCAAATAGTATCCAATTAGTATATCTATGTGATTCATACTTTTAATATATCAGAGTATAAATATAATTCTTTTTATTTTAATTTTTGAACTCTTGAATGAGTAGAATTTCATTAGAATACCAATGCCATCTCAAAATATTTTTTTTATATTTTAGTTAATTTCATTCCGCATTTGATGTCGTCATGTGCCTATAGTAGCAGTATATTTTATTTATTATTTTTAAACTTAAAGAAAACTTCATCAACTTGTTATATTTTCAGTTCTGGGATTGAGAACAACCCCACAGTGTTTTATCGGTTGATGCCTGGTTCCACGGCCCAAACTAACAAGTTTCATACATTCTACTTGCAACAAAGATCTGATAACGGATTTACGTGGGCCGATATAAAAGTCAATCATCCTTTGGATTACGAAAGCATCAAGGAATACAATTTGACGATAAGAGTAGAGGTAAGAATTTACTTAAAATATCTGTAGGTACCAAGTTTTGTAATTAAATTGTATTTTTGAGGTTATCGAATGTTACCGACGTCTACGTCGTTCGTCTATACTATTTGTATGCAAGGTATGTTACGGCGTACGAAATAAACCTATTATAATATCATTATCATTGATGTACTTTTAGAGAACGTGTTTTTTTGTTAAACCGAACGATGTTTTTATACTTAAACTTTTATACTGCATTAAGGTAACGATTTTCATATATATAGTATAGTATATTTTTATATATAAAGTAGCTTGATAAAAAAGAGACATAAAAGGAGAAATTAGTAATGGAAAAATAGAGGAGTTAAAAAAATAAAATTAATTTAATTATAGACAATTTCTTTATGTCTAAATATTATCGTATGGACTGATTTTCATCGATCTTATTACTTTTTTTTTAACAAAGACCCTCCATATAACTAATCGTTTTATATGACCGTTTGTGTCGGCCATACATGTGATCTCGAGGAGCTAAATAGCCTCAACGTTCAAACAAGTCTACATTTATGAGTTTTAGCAGATTTTTCCACAATATTTATTACGAGCTCCAGTTCGATTTATAAAAGTGACCAACCGTACGAGTCTAATAACTCTCTTGAGACTCCCTCGTTAGTCTAGTGGTCGTAAGTGCGACTAATGACCATGAGGTCCCGGGTTCAAATCCCGAGTGGGCCAAAATAAGTTATTGAGTTTTTTTGCCAAGAAAGTCTCAGTAGCAGCCCGGAGTCAGGAAGTTGGCGTTATTTCACCCACGCGCTGGATCTCCCTCAATTTATATCGGATTGCCGTCCCATCTGACTATGAGAGAGGGAATATTGAGTGCATCTGTGCTTGCCCACAAACTAGTGTACTATCATTCTTCTTGCGCAGATGGTCCGCCTCGGTTGAGGCTGGCCGCCGTAACCAAAATTCTATCTGAAGAAAGGTTTATTGCTTATAGCTCAGCTAACCCTGCATAATATATGGTTTCGCAGTTAATATATGCCGTGTAGTGGCGGTTGAGAATATCCACTACCCCATATCTTCCTGTGGGTGTCGTAAGAGGCGACAGTGGGAAACAGGCAGGAGATGGGCAGCAGCATCTTCCTGATAACAGCAAGATTACAATAAAAAACTGCGGTTGCCAACCCGCTTGCCAAGCGTGACAACTATGGCAGATATCCCCCATGAAATGAAAGTTACGATGAGACGGCCCCCAGTCCCCGACGGCCCCGCTATTCCTGGCTACGGTGGCGACCATGGTAACGGCGGGGGTGCTAAGAATCTCCGGTGAAGGTTCGGTTGCCACCTAAGACGACTCGACCTGGCAACATACAACGCACGTACCTTAAGGACTGACGGGAAGATACTGGAGCTGGAACGCTGGAATATCGTAGGATTATCCGAGGTCTGAAAAACGGAGAGGACACAGTAATCATCATCCGGCAACTTATTCTATCACCGGGAGGGTGACCATCTGTCCCAAGGAGGCGTCTGATTTATCGTCCACAAGTCTCTCGTTAACAACGTTGTAAAGATTGGGAGTGTGTCGACGAGGGTTGCGTACCTTATTCTCAGAATCACCAAACGGTATTCGTTGAAGGTCATAAAGGTTTACGCACCAACTTTGGCACATCCCGATGAGGAGGTGGATGAAACGTATGAAGATATCTCTAAAGCCATGCATTTCTCCAAAACCCACTACACGGTGTTAATGGGCGACTTCAATGCAAAACAAGGCACAAGAGAGAACGGTGAGCTGAAAGTAGGGAAATTTGGAATAAGGCAACGGAACCCAAGGGCCAATAGCTGACCGATTTCATGGAGAAAGAGGGACTCTTTATGATGAGCTCTTTCTTCCAGAAGCCACCTCACAGGAAGTGGACCTGGTCGAGCCCAACCGTGCAACAAAAATGAGATTGACTTCATTATAATGATCAGACGACAACTGTTCAGTGATATCTCAGTGATCGCAAAAGGTGAAAACCGGCAGCGATCACCGACTGGTGAGAGGCACACTAAACCTAAACGTTAAGTTGGAGAGGTCACGTCTAATGAAGTCAACGCTCCGTCACCTCATGCTCTAATCCAAAGTCCCGAAACCTTTCAGCTCCAGTTACAAAACCGTTTTCAGTGCCTAGAAGATTGCAATGCAGTGGACGATATGAATGACAAGTTCGTGGAAACTGTCCATGCGGTCGGAGCTAAGTTTTGTAAGACCTGTCGCAGAAGAACACAAAAACTCTGCGATCACACTCTTAATCTCATGACTGTTAGACGGGATATGAAGCTGTAGTCTTCATTAGATTTGACAGCATACAGGCAACTGAATTGAAACTGAACAGACAGATCTCCAAATGCATGCGGCAGGACTTAGCAACTTCAAT